AATTCCTGGAAGTAAGCGTCGTCTTCCAGGTACAGGTCGCCCTGCATAACTCCGTTGATCACATCCGACAGGAAGTCATAGCACTTCCCAGAGGCCTCACCACCCACCTCATCAACGCGAGTCGCATCTGAGACGGATGACCGAGAGCGCCTCTGGTCACTCCTGGCAGTGCCCTCCAACTCCCGCAGAGTGCCATTAGAGGGGATCGCACCCTCCTGCACGGCATCTGCCAGCACTTCCGCACGTGCCACAGGGCCTGCGGAGATACCAGGGTCCGTCGGGTGTAGCGTCTGCTGCCGCATATGCTCGGCTGCCTCACTCGCCTCAGCTGCGTGCAACGCCTCCGCCACGGCTCTACCTCGAGCATCCATTGCATCCTCCAGCTCGCGGAGTGCCTCAGCGTTCCCCTGCGGGTCTTTGCTCAGTTCGTCGTAACGGTTACGCAGCTGCTGAAACTCCGCGTCACGCAGTAGCGCGTCGGACCAGCCAGGGACATCGTGGGTTGCAAGAAATGGGTACATTGCCAACTGCAACTCCTTCTCGCACTCGCCCAGCGCCAGCTCATCTGCACGCGACCGAAGCGCGCCTTCCAGCCCCGCTATTTGCGCCGCATTTGTCTCAGCGTCTGTCAGCGCAGCCAGATGCTCCCGAAACAAGCCCTGGTACATGACGTCGCCGGCAAGCGGTATCTCACTCAAGGGGACACACTTGCGGTCCTCGTACACAAGAAACGGGTTGCGGGCGCGCACATGCTCATTCGCTCTCATACGGTGTGCCTTCACGAGCTTCGCTGTGAGGGCCAGCTCCTCCACGCGCTTCGCCATCTCCTCTTCCGTGTGCTGAACATCTTTCACATTCGATGAGTATTTAAGCTGCCGCGTACGGCGCCGTGCCAGCTGTGAGAACGCATCATCCTCGTGCAACGGAAGCTCGTCGAGGCGCACGCCTAGCACATGTCGTGGGAGGAACGGGAACTGCTCCTGCGTATTCTTCGCCGCCTCCGCGCGCTCCTCGGCCAGCCGCACCACCAGCGCGGTCATCTGCTCTTCCATCGCGCGAATCGCTGCCGCATTGCGTGACGGATCCCGGCGCAGCTCGTCCAGCCTGTTGGAGAGCTCACGGAACGCCGGCTGCTGCACCGGACGCATGTCGCCAAGCAGAACACCACGCACCGGCTCCTCCGGGAGAAACGGGTACCGCTCAAGCAGGTCCTCGCCGCGCACAGCGTCAAGCCGCCGCGCCACCCGTACCTCACGTGCTACACGCCCCGCCTGATCCAAAATGTCCTGCTCGAGGCGCGAACGCTCCGCCGCATCACCAGAAGATGCCTGCGCATGCTGCTCCGCCAACACCGCAAAGCCGGGATCGGACATCAGGGCCAACTCCCGCAGAGGGACCCCCTTCACGCTCCTCCCCAAAAAAGGGAGCGCCACAGCCAGACTCTCCTCCTGCTCGAGCACCGCTTTCGCTATCGCCTGCGCACGGGCGTTCAGCGCAGCTTCCGCCACGCGAACCGACTCCACCTGCTTCCCAAGCGCTTCCTCTCGGCTCCGCAGGAGCGTGCAAAACTCGTCGTCGGCCTCCACAGGGACACTCCACAGGGCAACACCCAGCGGCGACGGATCAACGAAGGGGTAACGTGACGCCACCCGCGCCGCAGCCCGCTCCTCAGCGCCACGAAGCTTCAGTGTGTCCACGGCAAGTTGCACAGCCCGTATCCGCATTTGCTCTCTCAGCTGCTTTGCGAGTGGCACAGTAGGCTCTGTACCAGCCGGGACAAGCTCCTTATACCCCGCAAGCAATTCCTGGAAGTAAGCGTCGTCTTCCAGGTACAGGTCGCCCTGCATAACTCCGTTGATCACATCCGACAGGAAGTCATAGCACTTCCCAGAGGCCTCACCACCCACCTCATCAACGCGAGTCGCATCTG